ATATGAAGTTTAGTGATGGTTGTCAAAACTTGGGCTCATAGCAGAAAGATAATCAAGGATAAGTTTCGAAAAGGATTCTCAGAATTGAAGTTGAAGTCATTTCGCTTTAATAAAAATCATGTGGACAATTGTAAATCATGAGGCTCTTTGCAACTTATAGTTTGTCTACAGTAAGAACTCCCCTCGCCGCTAAATCTGATACCATCTGCTGCTATGGAAACAAGAATAACGGATTTCGGGGAGGGTAGCTTCTCTTCACTCTAGGGCTAACAAAATAGACCAAAGAAAAAGATTCTCTTTTTCCTGCCAATCCTAGCTGAAACCTATCCTAAACAGTGACCCCACACCCCTATTTGAAATAGATATACCTCATTACCATAGTCATCGCCATGAGTGGAGACAAATGGCTAGGAGAGTTCTCACTTTAGACAAACTATTGTACAATTTGTAGAACTTTACTTATTAATACTTTACGATGGTTACAAAAATAATTCAAGTTTAGATGTGCATAAATAAAATAGTCCACACATAATTTTTTATGGTTCAAAGAAATGTTTAAGTTTAGATAATGCATAGAATTAAAATTATCTTATGGTTATGAAAGTTATTTATATTTGTAAAAAGAATACTCTTTGTATTTCCGTAAAACATCATTAAAACATAAGTGGAAGTTGTAGAAATTTGTACAGATAATTTACTAAGAGAAATAATTTAACTTACCATATACTCCGGCGTATAACGCGCACTTTTAATACTCATCATCATAGAAGATTTTGCCTTTACTGGGTATTTGTCCCTCTCACATTAGAGCATAAAAAATTTGAACGTCATACATGAAAAAACTTTACCTATGGTAAACACGTGGTTGCAGAGAAATGTGTTCTGAAAGGGGTTCCGTGATTCAGTTGTGTTCTGTTGTTCGAAAAGGTTCTGAACAATACTGGTAAATAGGGAAGGTAGATAACGGAGCAAATGTTGAAAATAATGAGAGATCCAGGAAGAAAAGTGAAACGGATTTTATTCTAAATAGCGTAATTCAAAGCTTCTTCCAAAATGCGAGAAATTCGCGAATTTTGAAATTGATTTATAGAATGCGCGAATTTCTCGCAGTAATAATTTTTTCATGCGAGAAAAGAAAAAAATATGCGAGATTCTCGCGTTCTCGCGCTGTAGTGAAAACACTGCGTAAAACATCATTAAAACATAAGTGGAAGTTGTAGAAATTTGTACAGATAACTTACTAAGAGAAATAATTTAATTTACTATTAAAATTGTAAAATTTTTTTGGATTGATTATGCAAATTGATTTTGCCGGAATATAGTTGAATATTTAATGTGTCAATAATATTTATGATATTAAAATAAATTGATTGGCTATTAAAAAATTTACAAGTGATTACGAAATTTGAGAAGGTGGCAGAAATTCATGTTAAGTAACTTTTCATATTTTAAAACCCAGTATAAATATACAGGTAGAATCACATAACTCATTAAACCATAAACTTTTGATTAATATTTTTATAATAAGAGATAAGGCAAACGTAACAAACATTAAGAGATAATGCAAAAGTAACAAACAATAAGAGATAATGCAAAAGTAACAAACAATAAGAGATATTGGATAAATAACAAACAATAAGAGATAATGCATAAGTAACAAACAGAAAAGTCAAACCTAAATAGTTTTCTCGATGTTTGTCACTTTTTACACTCTCCCATGTAAATTGATCAGCTCCACCACGAACTCCACCTCTTGAAGGATTATACATACTTTACTAAAGATTATCAGTAATATCTGCTGACCTGTAAAAATTATGTTGCTTAGAATTCTCGATGATAAAACTTTATTGTAATTCAAGTGATCAAAAATGTTTTTTCAGCAAAGAAAAAAAAATGTAAAAATTGTGAATTACAGTTCTAAACATTCATGTGAATTTGAGTACATTATTTTGAGGTCAGCAGGGAACAAAAATTACTTCTTGCCCAGACTCTCTCAGTTAAACTATTTGCTCTATATAAGCCTAGACTCTAGGTGTTTAAATTTGCTATCAAATTTAAAACTTTTGAAGGTTACCAGTGTTTTCATCATCGAAAAAAATGGGTGAGAATTTCTCACCCTTTCTCAAAAACAGGGTGAGATTTCAAAAACTTAAGTGAGATTTCTAAAAATTAAAAAAACACAAAAACTCTCAACAAAAAAAAATTTCTTTAATTATAATACTTTTTTAAAGAATTGAATATTTTTGGTGCATCATCATAGAAGATTTTGCCTTTACAAGGTTTTTGTCCATCTTACATTAGCACATAAAAAATGTGAACGTCTTACATGAAGAAACCTAACCTACGGTAAACACGTTGTTGCAGAGAAATGTGTTCTGAAAGGGGTTCTGTGGTTGTGTTCTGTTGTTCGAAAGGTTTTGAACAATACTGGTAAATAGGGAAGCTAGATAATGGGGCAGATGTTGAAAATAATAAAAGATCCAGAAAGAAAAGTGAAACGGATTTTATTCTATAATAATTACTTAGAGAATGCTTTTTTCGAAAATGCAAGAAATTCGTGAATTTTGAAATTGATTTATAGAATGAGCAAATTTCTCGCGGTAATAATTTTTTAATGCGAGAAAAGAAAAAAATATGTGAGATTCTCGCATTCTCGCGCTGTAGTGAAAACACTGGTTACTTACCCTTGGAATCTTCATCTATTCTAAAAATATCTTAAGATTGTCTCAATGCTGTTTGGCTAAAAAAGACTGAAATACACCTAGAAATCTAAATTTTTCGAAACTGTCAACAGCACTAAACTCTTAAGTCAATAAACTTTTATCGCCAAGCAATACACTGAACACCTTCTTTAAGAAGAGCTTTAAAATAAAAAATTTTAAACACTAACACAGTTTTAACGCTGATAATATAAAAAAGATCATTTTTAAACTAAATTTTTTCTTGAATATTCTTCAATAATATTTCATAAAATGTTTCCCTAAATCAAATAATTAAAATAATATTCTGTTTTAAGAAAATTTCAAATTGCAATTGAGTATCTTAGCTATAGACCACATTGTCTGACCTATTCTCTTACTTGTCTGCCACACCACATTGTCTTATCTATAGCGCCACATTGAATAATGCTCAAAATAGTATTAGGTTAAAAATGAAAAAATGTCTCTCTTATAGGCGATTCTAGAAATATTTGAACTTGCAGAAACGAATAAAATGATTAAATTAAAGGTTTCACTTAGGTTCTTTTTGGGTTAGCTGGAAAAACTTAGGAAATTCAACTACTATTTTTACAATTTTCTTATTTCATTCAATTTTTATGCGTTTAAGAAAATAAATATATAAAAAAGTTGGTAGAGGTCTACACTTTTTGGCGATTTTTCTTTTGCGTAAGGCAAAGCAAAATGCGCAATTACTTGAATAAGAAATTAGAATATCTTATAAAAAATATTTGAACATGAATTTTTGGAACTACAAGCCCTACAAGCATTGACTGAAATAAATTAAAATATTAATATTACTGACTTAATACAAACCAGTCGCAATAATATATGTTGCTAAAGTATAATTTTTGATTGATTGAATCATTTTTGACCTACTAATGTACAGTTTTACCTCGCTAATATGATTGATAATCAAGAAAAATATTCACTTCATTCTTTTGTACAATTGCTTGTTTAATAAACTTGGTTCTCTTTAATAAATTCTTGATCTGTCCTAAGTCGAGAATTATATATCTCTAACTAATAATAAAATTTAACAAAATCTCTTGTTTACATTTAATAACGGGTGCTTTCAATTAAATGATATTGAAAATTTGCACTAAAAAGTTTGGAACGGTTGATGATCGTAAAATATGAAAAAGTTCAACTAATTACATATCAACACATGAAACATAAAAGTTGAAAAGATTCAATGAGACCTTTTGTGTATTAAAAACACCAGAAAACTTGTTCTAGTTGAAAAAATCAACCCGTTTTTTCCGACTGAAAAGTTGGCAAAAAATAAGTGAAGTTAATCTTTAATGAACGACAACTGTAAATCATTTTCCAAACTTAATAAATTTCGAATCTTGAATGTTTATTTCATATAATTTGTTTACTTTCCATCATGCTGTATTGTTGTCGCTCAGATGCACACAGATATGCGTAAACACTTGAGCAAAGTTATATAAAACCATTAATCAAATTTGATGATTACCTCTTCACATGTCTTTCAGTACGAAAAATTGTGTTGAAACTTTGTTAAAAGGTGTTTTTTTCTGAACAAAAAAACAATTGGAAATATTTTTAAGCGAATAACGTAAAACTGAAGGTTAATTAAACATGACCAATCTGGCAAGTACATTATGACTAATTAATTATTTATTTTGGGGTTAATATACTGTCTGGGAACGTAGATTTTTGTGATAATTTAAGTAGTTTATCATTTGACCTTTTGCCCTTAAAAGTAAATCAACTAGATTGATTTCTCTACTTGTTACATTTCTGTGGTGCTTCGTAGAAAAGTAGCAACTGCGATTTGCCGGCTTAACACACTTTTTCGAGGTATAGTTGAGAATACCTGCTACTTTATTATTTTATTGGCAGGAATGTTTAGATTTTTGTTTATTCAGTATATTTTCTTATATATTCACTATGTATTTTAAAAAGAAAGCTGGTATGTTTTATTAATTTTTATTTATTAATTTCAGGAAGATTACTCTGAAGAAGTATTCAGTAAATTTGGTAAGCTTTCATTCTGATGCTATGCTAAAACTACTAATATTCAAATCAGAATTTTATCAACTATCAATTTTATCAAAAATTTCATTTATTCAAATGTTTGAATTTTTCTATTAACACAATTACTTCACTTTCTGAATGGTTTAATGAAAATCTGAGTTTTTTTTTTGTAATATTTTTAAAATTTTGTATTGATTTTGATTAAAATTTGTCATTTTTGTATTTTTAAAAATATGACTTTGAAAGTTAGATTTTTTTTTAAAATAAAAAATGCTTCCAAAAAAATTCCAATTTTTAAACTTTTTCTTTTAGTTTTATGATCTTTTTTGATTTTGAAATAGTGTTCACCTAATATAGATTTTTTTAAAAGTAAAATAATGAAATTTTTGAATCCATGTGTCCTACTTTATAGTGAGACCAGTGAATTGAATCTTCCAAGCTTTTATATTAACTAAGCGAGGCTGTTATCAAATGTTGCCAAACCTGGTCTTAGCATCTTGGTGAGTTGTAGCTAGAATTTTGCATGCGATGAATGCGTCTTGTGAAAAAGAGATTTTTGTTTATTTGAATTCTACAAATGCATGCATTTTAAACAAGTTTTGCTCATTTATTCAAGAATTGTGTAAAATCTGATGAATTTTTTCTTTATTTTTGTTATCAAAACTTTTTAGCAAAAAATGAACTTTACTTTCAAAAAATATTTTGAAAAAATTATTCAATATAAAAAAATTAAAAGATTATTTTAATCCAGAAAAAAAATCAGTTCTGAGGAAATACAGTAAAATCTTGCTACAACAATATTTTTGGAACTAAATAAATATATTATTGTAGAGGAATATATTATTATATGAAGGGCCTACATGCTTTGGGGACACAATATGATTTTTTTAAAATTTTAATGTTATATATGCAGAGGTCTGTCTAGGTT